ATATCGCTGTAAAATCTGTGAATACACATCAAACATTTTCTACTTCCACAAAGTAAATATTAGATTTGTAATTAAAAGTATTCTGTAAAGCAGGATGTTTAAATGAAATCTATTTCTCATGTATTTTGTATTCCAAATTTTCACCTTTTGGCTTTAAAGGTGATTTATCATGTGTTTATAATCCATATTGAATTGATTTTTGAGCAGGATGCCTACGGAGAGCAAAATTGTGAGTTTGAGCACAGGGGGATCATTACAATATGTAAAGCATACAAAGAATACATAAGCACCCAGACATCTGGCCTTCTCACATGAGATTTTGGGTAGTTAAGCCTGAAAGACCTTTAACTAATGTAGCTGTGCTCCCAGCACACTCCCACCACAGTTGATGCAGCCATCACTCCAAGAGGGCTTTGGAACTTGAAAGGCAAGAACAACCTTCTCTTTAGGGAAATATTTTTGCCTATTCTTTTGTTTAACCTAATACTGTCTTAGATAGATGCTTGTCCTTCCACAGCCTCATCTTTCTTTACTTAGGGTGAGCAGTACAAAGCTGAATTACCCAACGTCTTCGTAAGTGAGATGCTGTTCTAGAAGCCATCATCGTTTTCAGACTACCACAGAATATTACTGTCAAGCATAAACCACTATTAGCTAAACCAAAGGTAAAAGGAAAATGATTGTATTAACTCTGTTTATTTAACATTATAATTTCATCTACTATCAAGTTTGGTGGTAAATTAGGACAGCCTTATTTGATTTTAGACACAGAACACTGTGATTTGTCAAACGTTGAGGGATACCTGGCCAGCACAGAAGTGCCACAGCATCCCTATTCCCTCCCTAATCAGGGACACTAGCAGCTAACTAGGAGACAGTTTTGGGAACTCACACTGCCTCAAAACTCTTTGTGTTTAGAGGCCCCCAATGGGGGACAAACTGAGCTGAGGAAGCTGGTTTTCTTCCAGAGAAAACTATAACCTCTATGGCAACATGTTAGTCCCTTGTCACATCCTATTGTGGTATTTGTCTATCTGCTTGTTTTGAGACAAGGGCTCACTACTTTACCCAGGCTGGCCTCAAACTCCTGGGCTCAAGTGATCCTCCCGTCTGCCTCCCAAGTGCCATCTTCTTGTTTTTAAATTCATTTTTCTTCACTAAGAAAACAGAGGAAATAATTGCCTATACAGCTCTTCCTTTGACAAGTGAAGTGCACCAGTTGCTGTGGTGGTGAGTGTGGGCTCAGAGTTGGCATCTGCTCTGCTACAACCTTAGCTTTGTAAACTTGGCCATGTTATTTAATTTCTATGTGATTTTTGTTTTTTAAAAACCCAGATAATAATGGTCCCTTTCTTTATATATATGTAATTTATTTACTTCCCTCTCTCTCTTCTCTCTGCGTGCGTGCGTGCGTGCGTGCATGTGTGTATGTGTGTGTGTGCGGTGCATGCTATGGTGTAGAGGTTAGAGGACAACTTTTGAGGGTCCAGCCTTTCCGCCTACTGCGTGTGTTCCTGGGATTGAACTCAGGTAATCAGACTTGACAGCAAGCACCTTTATCCTCTGAGTGATCTCACTGACCCAATGGCCTCTTTCGTAATGAGAATTTTTGAAAACTGAGCAAGATGGCACATATTCTGCGTGCTTCATCAATGATGATTGTCAACATTCTACAAACTAAAGAGTACTCTACAGTGTCTACCCTTGAGCACTAACACATACAGATTTCAGGGATCTGGTAAAACCCAAACCACTTCTCAAACTAGGTAGGAGGTGACTTCTGCTGAACAGTGTGAGCTCATGAATTAGACCTTGTCAGGGATGATCCTTTAAGTATAGCCTAGAAATAAAACAACTCAGATTAAGCACACATCTAAGAGAGGGAAGAAGATAACTCTGTACCTACCTGAACACAGGCATGATGCTTCTGCCTCAGAGTAGACTTTAGAATCTGAGAGATGAGTATAATATTTTCCATCATACATGAATATCTGTGCATTATACTAAGATTACATAATATCTATCACATGTGGTGAGACCTGGAATGAGAGAGCTAACTTGACCAGACTTACTCAAGTAAGACACGGCACAAATGATGTTTGAAACAGGTCAATCTGTCTGTAAGGCCTAGTTTGTTCCCAAACAACCAAATGTTGCCATTTTCCTGCCAGATTTCAGTCTAACTTGACTTTAGTTCTCGCTGGTCTAAGTGATACTTTCCCAATTAAGTTCCCCTGTCTCATACCATTTTGAATAGCAATCTAAAACTGCCTGAGTCATTTGAACAAATGCAGCTTGCATCATCCCCAGCATCATAAGACCCAGACACTTTGCTTTGACCTGAAGATCTGGCCCTTTTACGCTCATTTTGTTACTTTAGTTATGGTCTAGAGTTATAGAGCTTTGATATATAGGCTCTGGGCCAATACATGATAGAAGGAGAGTTATTTACATTTTGCCACTCCCTCTTAATTACTAAGGTCTTGGGAAACTACGATGTAAAGCAAAACGCTGTTCCTTTAGTGCTTGTTGCTGACATGTTAATTCAACCTATGTTTATTCATCTTGTGAAAGAGATTCATCCTCCAAAGGCTCATCCCACCAGCTTCAAAATGAGTCATTTTGAAGGAGCTGGGTAGTGCTTGCTGCCAACTCCCAAATAGCCGAGGACTGATGCCTTCTCCCCTGTTCTGTAGGCTTTTTAGTGGTTCCTCATGCATTTAAGTTTCAGGGAGATAATTTGCAATTCAATTGTGTAGCTCTCTATTAGAAGTCTATTATCCTCAAGATAGGGTGCTATAAATGCTCATTTCAACTCCATGAACCAGGAAGACATGCTTGGCATCCAAGCACTTGGAAGGTGGAGGAAGGAGGATCAGGAGTTCAAGACCGGTCTTGCCTACTAGTTAGTTTGAGGTTAGCTTGGGTTACCTCTCAAAACAGCAACAGCAACAACAACCAACAACTAACAAAACAAAAAAATGCAAAAACAACAAATAAGGAGAAAATGGAAACAAAAGCCAATCTCATTATAAACTCTCTGAATTGTCATCAAGCAAATTCTGTAACTTGTCCCTCTCAAGAATTCATAGATGGTATCTGATTGGGTCAAACTGAAAGCAATGATTTTCCATTCGTGAGAAACATTTGTAGGATGTTTGTTTCTAGAGACATAATTCCCATCATTATAAAACACTTTCATTTTAAAATCCTAAGTTAAAGGTCATGTACCCCTTTAAAGCTTCCTCGAAGGCGCACAGTCAGATTCTTTAAGGGAACAGTCAAGTTCTTTGGTTTGCATCCTCATTCATGGAAGTGTAACTGGAACCCACAAAGCTGCTGTCCTAGTAGTCTGGCTGACCTGAGCTCAAGCGAGCGCCTTCCTAGACACGGACCCAATAATTACTTTCTCCTCAATAAATATAATAGATCTAGACATAATTCAAAGTGCTTTAGTGAGACAACTACTGAATGGATTAGCAGTGCGACAAGTGGTCTAGCAACTGAACTGGAAGGCAGGTATTTCAGTTTTGTGGAACCTTCAGCTGCCCACATTTTTTTGAGAAAGCTTTACATTATTTTTCCACAAAAATTAATTACGAAATGGGCTCAAAATTTCTTGTTAAAAGAGGAACGAATGATTTTTAAGCAAAGAGGACAATATTTTTATAGGTCCTGGATGACGGGGTCAGCAATAATTTCTCTGAGACCTATGCTGGTTACATACATTTCTCATTAATCTGAAATCATTTAAAAGTGCATGACACATAAAGGAAACTTCCACATATACAGTTATCTATAATATCAGGCTGACACAACATCCCTCTTCCCAAGTTTTAACATAGTGGCTCTTCCCCAATCCAGATAAGCCTCATAATCATCCAATACAGAATCTGCTATCTGTACTTGAAAGTAAGAACCTCCATATTTGGCTGAAAAGACAACGAAGCAAGGGTATTTATAATTCAGCAACAGTTTCATAATTCTCTATGCAACCTAGGCTGTAATTATAAGGTACACAATTTTACCCTTAAAACTATCAGATGTTCCTAAACCTATGCAACATGCCCTTTCTTCACCTACAACTGAACAAACCCATAGCTTAAAAATGTCTCCCAAATGCCGTGGATCATAGTACATGGAATCCTGTACCTGTCAATCTTTACACCCCTCCCATAAAATGTCCCTCCCTCAAATACTGCATTGGGTAAGTTAGGAGTTCATTATGAGTGCATCTCCATGTTAATTGCTTATCAGGGTAATACTGCTTAGGACAGAATAAAAGCACAGATACAAATCATGTGAAATTGGATGATGTCATATATTTTTAAAATATATCTACACATATTAATATGTAGATATACTGTGATATATGCATATATGTGAAATATGTGAACACACACACACACCATGGCAAAAGGCCAGTAGACTGATGATTGACATCTAGAAATGAAGACCCAATTTTAGAAGCAGGTGAAAATACCATAGCAACTGTAGTGGGAGAAAGGTTTGGGGGGGTTAATAAAAGCCACCAGTAATCTTAATACTACACAGACACCACCAGTCGCCATAATCCAGACATAGCTGTGTGTACTTAATTCCTACCGAAAGCTCAGAGAGTTCTAGATACAAACAGCAAATTGAAAACACAAACCCCAAAATATGGGCATTATGGCCCCTCTGGGGCGCAGATGGACGCTGTGAACGTTGGCGCTACAGGGCCTGGGAACTAGACCCACACTCGCACAGGTATCCCTTCCTCCAGGCCACCCAGGAGACACTTCTAGTGGTAATCACCCCACGCTGGCTGGGGTCCACAGGCACACTCAGGGGAGCGCTGGAGGAAAAACTGGTGGAAAGGGACCTGGTCGGGCATTTGGGGACAGCGGCGGCTCGCGCCCTGGTATGATCTCCCTGCCTCCAAGCCTGTCCAGGACCCAAATTCGCTCGGGAGCTGGCTGGAAAGATCTGCATTATGCCAGGGCGCTGGGCCAACTCACCTCCACGAAATAAAAGCAGGGCAGGAGGGTGACGCTGTCCTTGACCACTTTGCCCTTTGGCCTTTCCTTCGCCGACATCCCGGCCGCCAGCCCCGCTCCGCGTCCTTCCGGGGGCGAGGTGTGCACCGTGCGGCCCAGGCGAGCTGCCTGCTGCAGCCGCAAGCGCCCGGCGCCGCTGATGTCACATTCCCCGCGGGCACCGCTGGAGCCAGCGCGCTGCATACAGCGCCCCCGCCTTCTCCCCGCCCCTCTTTGCAGCAACCCGGTGGTTCCCGGAGCCTAGAGCCCTTAGGTGTCCTTCCCTAGACCTGTGGGTCTCTCTGGTTTGCCTGGATAGGGTTGGTCAGCTCCCTCCAAGCCTTTGCTGCGATGGCTTCCCCTTCCTGCCAAGCTCCCTCTGCTCTCCAACGCACAGGCGAGAGGCTCCTTGGCTGCTGGAGCTTGACGTCAAGAATCGGAAAAAAAGGGGGACGCACTCTGGGTTTCTGCAGAAGCGAGGCTGAGGAGCTAAGGCACCTGGTCCCAGTTGGTTTCCTCCTGGGGTTCCTCTTGGCTTGCTCCAGGGATGCTAACTTCGACTCCCAGATAGCAGAAACCTGAGCAGCACCCTCACCCACAGAGCGAAAAGCGACCTCCACCTGTGCGGAATTAAAACTTGGACTTCAGACTGGCAAGTAGGCCATGGAGTTGATTCACTGGGAGCTGGCTGCTACCCAAGAGATAATCCTTCCTCAGAATCTCTGTCCAGGGACTCCATGGGGAGCGCTGAGAAACCCTATCAGGTGGGGGACTGAGTGAGGGTTTCCTGCATCCAGAGACATGGTAAAAGGGACGTCCTCACTGGGCTCAAAGCCCAGGGCAGGCTCTACCCTCACTCCCTTAGCACAATGTGAGTGTTACAGCCTAGGCCATCCCAAAGATGTTAGCATTTAAGAGATGCACTTCAGCTGGTTGGCAGACCAGAGTTGCTTTAAACTCTGTGATTCCTTTAACAACTACTATCAAGGGAAATAGAAGAAAGAGATACCCATCAAACACAGAAAAATGTATTACACCGATGAAGATGGCCCACTTCCAGGATCACTTGTTCTAGGTCATTTCCAGGGGGCTCTTTGGAAAGTTGGACGCCGCATTCACTCACATTCGTGTTTCATGGGTACCACCTCAAGGCCTCACTCTGCCAGGACTGGGTTTCAGAGCCTTGCAGTGTAGTTGTTCGATTCTCCTCCCAATTCACCACACTCACCTGGTGGGCTGCCATCTCTAGGTAAACAGGCAGGATTCTCTGTCTTTAGCCGAACAGCGAAACACAGCAGAATAAAATCACATCATGTGATCTCACCACACCTGAGACTTGGATCCACGCATATTAAACAGGTCTGGGCCAGCACAATCCAGCTGTTAACTGCCCTAGTCACTGTCCCATCCCTACTTTCTCTTTACCTCTCAAATGATACTCAGCTGACTGCCGCTAGTTTGCAAAACTAGACGCTTTAGAAAAACACTGTCTTATCTTTCAAAACTGAGTACTGGCCCCCACCTCCCACAGCTACCACTTTATCGCCTCTGGATTGGCAGGGAAACAAACGACCTTTAACCTTTCTACTAGCTTATGCCCTTGTCTCTACCACAAACCCCCAAGCTATTCCACAATTCCTTATCCTTCACATGGTAGCCAGAGGATCTTGTGAAAATTAATTTCTTTTGTGACATTTCCCTCCCTGATTCTTCTAGAGATTCTCACTATGCACAGAAAACCCAAGCTCCTCATTTTCCTCTTTGAAGTCTGATGGCCCTGCTTGGTTCTTTGACTTCACTGACTTGATTCTGGGTGTAATGGTAGGGGGCCTAGTTTAGCTTCTCAGTGTCTCAGGACCTTTTCCCTTACCTGTTGCCATGTTCATGAGCTCTGTTCTACTAACTCATTTAATTCATGTCTCTGCTTAAATTGTAGCTACTCAGTGAGGTTTGGTATACCAAATAATAGTCACAACCCAAGACTTCCATTCCTTTTTATTGTTTTATATTATTTATTGTAGTTCTAGAACTCACTGATATTTTAACAGTTGATCAAATATTTCTTTGTTAATTTTTTTTATTGCCTGCTTTGTCCACTAGAACGCCAACTCCATAAGGCCAAGCACATTTTCATCATTTGGCAAATAGAACTGTGACTGTCACAGAGGTCAGCATGTATCTGTGAAGAAGTACGTGAATCAATTAAATTCACCGATGTCAGGGAGCACGTGCTTCTCCCATATATTATCTGGCAATTTAAAATTATTGTTTGACTTTGTCAATCAGCAATTACACTTCTCATTATCTCCAAAATTACTTTGTGTGCCAGAGAAGGGGACTTCTTTCTCCTTTCTTGAAACTTCAGTGAAATTTATAATTCTTAGTGGACATGCTATTCTAAGTTTTATCATTCTGGAAACAGTACTTCTAATAAGGGGAGTTGAAAGATAACAGTAAAACTAGTAGCTTCCTAATTCATTAGCAAGGAGCTCAAAACAATTTAGTCGGTGAATAAGGCAATGTTTTTCTTTCTTCTTTTAAAATTTCTTGTAGATGGGACTAAAAAAATGGAGCAATAGATGTGTAAAAGGCTGGCCTTCAAGAGTGTGATCAATGGAATAAAACGACCCGGGGACCTGTAAAGGTTTAACTCTGAGCTTGTGATCAAGTCACTTAACTTTGAACATTGTTTCCTAAAACGTAAAATGAACAAAGTATTTTTGTTATCTGATGCCATGCCCTGTAGCTCAATTCAATTCTGACACATGTGAAAACACATGGTAAGCTGTAAAACTGGTCCATCTATTAATTTGACCTATAAACATGTATCGATCCCCTGCTATATAAGAGGCACCTTTCTCCTTAGATGTTTACTATGACAAGGAATGTAGCTCCTGTGCTCACAGAATTCATAAGTATTTATGCAGATTCCAGATAGGAGAGACATATAAAACAGTCACAATAACAGACTCACGTAAGCCAGGCGTGGTGGCGCATAGTGAGTTCCAGGACAGCTGGGGCTACAGGGAGACCCTGTCTCAAAAAGACCAAAAAAAAAGACACATGATGTTCACTATAGAGTAAGTACTGTTATAAAACTCTCTGTACATTTCCTTTAATTCTTAAAGGATCTTTATGAACTGGATACCACTACATTACATTTTACAGTTAAAGAAACAGATGCAGAGAAGTTGGTTATTCTATGCAAGAACAATAAAATTGGTGAGATGTTTTTAATACAGAGGTTGCTTCAAGCTTTGTGGTCTGAAGAGTTACACATACTGCCTCTCTTAGCAAATATGTGATTACATGGTGTGATACAGAATCATAAAGAAAGAATTATGGTGCATTTTAATTACAATGGCAACTTCTTGAGTATGGGTGGCCAAGGAAGGTCTGGAAAGGAGCCGGCATGCACACTGGCTTACAGCACTAAGCTACCAGCAGACATTCTTGAATTAAGAACTTTCTTTAGTCCATGCATGGTCACTGTGTAAATCCATATTTGGGCCAGAAGAACATGATGCCGAATGTAGTTTCAAGTGTGCTAATTGAAGCTCTTTGTCATAATAGTAGCGTCAAAGCAATTTAATGTGCTTCCCAGAACTTGAATCCTTCAGTGGAAATCTTATTCAATTGAAAAAGTGCGCCCACTGAAAAAGTAGCACTCTGACATTTTAAGACAAAGTATTTCAGAGCACAAATAACCAGGGGAAAATGCCTTAAATGCACTTGACATCATTATTAAATCTGTCAGTTTCCTCAACTAACAAAGAAAAGAGTAATTTTTCTCTGCATTGTTTTGTGTGGGTCTCACAAGCAAACACAAACCACATTCGCTTCCTTAATAACTACTCATCCTTCAGGTCTCTGCATGACATTTATCTTTAAGGTCATAAAGTATGTTTAATTTCGATTTAGCAATATTTTTTCCAAGACATTACCTTGCTCCAAAGCATTTTGAACAGATAGTGTAAGATTTTATTGCATTTTCCTAAAAGAGAAAGTCTTTAAAAGAACTGAGTGTGCAATTGTGGGAAGCGGGAAAGTGCTGACAGAAGGCGCTAGGAGATGGAAATGGATGAAGGGAGGGGCTATTCTAACTTTGAGACTCAGTTTCCTCATCTAAAATGAAGACTTTAGGTGGGTTCAGTGGGCATCTGCTGTTTGCAGTCCAGCAAATGTTATTCCCTCTTCTTGTGATGAGTTCCTTTCCTTTCATATGAAATGTGCCCCTCACACAGTCAAAGCTGAACTGTAAAGGACAGTGTTCAGCTCTCCTCAGACCAAGTGGCAAACAGTAGCTTGAATGTAAACACGTCTGTTCTGTTCCCTAAGAAGTAGAATCTGGAACGGAGTGATGCAGACAGTTCTTGATGATCACTGGCAGGAGAAGCAAAGGGTAAAATTATTGATGCCGGACATTCAACCCTCTGCAAATTTCCTTTCAGAAGTCTGGCTCTTCTCCTTCCGGTTGCGTTTTTGCACTTTGCTACTTTTTCTGGGTAGAAATTTCTCCTTTCCTTTTCCTTCTCATTCCTCCCTCTGTTTGCTCCTCTTTCTCTTCCCCTCCTGTCCTCTCTCTCTTCCCTTTTCCTTCTCTCCCACTTCCTTCCCCTTATTTTATTGCTCCCTCATTTTCTCCCTCCCTCCTCCCCTCTTCCTCTGCCTCTCCCTCCCTCTCTCTTTCTCTCTCCTCTCCTTAACTTAGTCAGAACTATTTTCAGTGTGTATAAGCAACCAAAACCTTACTAGTAACACAAACAGCTCAGAAGGCATTCACTTACTAAAGAACAAACTGAAGAATCTTTAAATATATTTTAATCTAATATGGAGAATACAATAGTTATTCTGGCAAGTGAAGTTTTACAATCCAGTTTTCTATTTTCCTTCTGCCGCTGATGTGTATCCCCCATAGATTCCCCTTTATGGCACGGTAGAAGGTGACTTACACAGTTGAGCCTCCTACGTCTCGAGCCTTGTTCTCTAGGAACATGTCTTGAGACAAAGTCAGAGCTCTCCAAGACAAAGTCAGCATACTCTTAAGAAATAGCATGGCAGTGACTCATGAACTGTGAATGATGGGATGTAGAGCTCTGTTATGAGTGTGTATCTTGTACCACAGTGTGCAGAATGAGTTTCAGCTATCCTATGATATGCTGATCTTCTCAGGGGTTAGCAGGAGCTGGGCTTTAGAAAACGGAGCAACCTCAGCTCAGGGGACTTCCTGGGACAATGATTCTGCTTGGAGATGGAGCAGAATTTGAAAACACAGATGAATTTCTTTTTGTACAAAACTATATTCATGTCTGTAAGTTCAAGTTTCCCATTTAAAAATGAAATTATTTTATTTGAAAATTTTATATTTAATGCATTTTCCAAAAACTGGTTTGTGTTTTGCTTATAGGTTGTAAAAACGTGTTTAATTTTTTTCTACTGAATTGTATAAAGCTAGTCCGACTTCTCTTT